CAAAGGAGTAAAAACAAACTGTCTTACACTACGGCTCATCAACCTTTCACATAGCAATAATAATTTCTCAAGGTACCAAAAAAGATTGAACTTTCTGGCGATCAATAAATTTTCACTCTTTCTTTAAGATATAAAACATAATTAAACTTTCCTCACAAGGCATAACCACATTCATAATTCACCCGATTAATACGAGTTCACTTTCTTTGAATTACATCAGAAAATGAAATGTTTTTTAACTGAATAAAACGTGCTCATAATTGAACGGGTTAATACGAATAAAACTTCTTTAAATTACATCGAAAAATGAAATGCTTTTTAACGGAACAAAACGTGTCCGTAATTGAACGGGTGAATACGAGTTAAATTTCTTTGAATTACGTCGAAAAATTAAATGTTTTTTAACGGAACAAAACGTGTCCATAATTGAACCCATTTATCAACCTAAAAGGACCTGAAGTAACGCAATTTAACGAAGATTTTCTTAGGGCGAATAAATTCGTCGATATATATTCAGTGAAAAACGGCTAAAGAGTGCGTGAAAACGGCGTTTTATTTTTATGGATGCGTGAAAACATCGTTTTTACAGATTTCTAATGCGTTTTTACGCGTTTTTTTGAAGGTCGTGTCTGTCTGGGTAATTCAGCTTTGATTTTCATTTGAACTTGCGGATGTTTACTAATCAGATGTATAAACCAGGCTAGAACAGCTGATGTAGTCTCATAACCAGCCATCAAAAGAGCAACATTTCATCAAAGACTTCATTTATAGATAATCCTAGAAAATATACAATGGTTAAGAAAATAATCGTTTCATCAATAACACACTATTCTATTTTAATGATGAGCATTGTTAAACCCAACTCAGAATGATTAAAATTACTGATATCTACTATGCATTGTAGTAGAAATGCATACTCTATGCTCACTTATTTTCCAAGCAGGTATTCAAGAAGAAAAGACTTTCTCAAAACTTAGAATTTCAATTGCATGATTACCTCGCTTATCTTTTTCTGATTTTGCTGCTTCACATTCTTCGTCTTGTTACAATGATTCAACAAGTGATGCAATCAAACTTTTTCTCTTTCTTTCAATGATGTCTTCAGATGATTTTCTTTGTTCCTGTTCAATCATTTGATTAAAATATTCATGAATGGTAGATATTACTTTTCGATAACGTGAACTACATGCTAAATACAATTTTATCATAAACATTGGCTTGCGCATCGCAGCAACAAAAATATCCATAAACTCGTTCAGTGCTTGTGTAAGCTTATTTTTTTTGGTGATATTGTTTGAATCTAAACATTCAAGATCATAATCAAATGCAATGAAACCAAAAATATCCAGTAGAAGATTTTGACATTTGGCAACTAAGTCAAGATGTACAAACAGATGATCTTCAGATTTTGAACGCCATTGTTCAAGCAATTTATCAGTGCAATTAACAATTAAATCCAGATTCGATATAATTTTAGCTCGACGAAATAATGGACCACTTAAAGCTGCATGACGTTTATGCTTTGCTGCTATGATAAATCAACAAAGAAAACAAAACATGTTATGTCTATATATGGTTGCTTAAAAAAATAATCAAAACAATAGTCAGAAAAATACATTCATACTCAATAAGGCTAAACTATGAAATTATACTACGAGATTTTGCTTTATTACTATTCAGTTGATCTTCGAACTAACTTTATTCTGATTTGGTTAATTTTTAGAATAAGTAAATACTACACACCTATATTACAGACGAGAGCATCATGAAAAAGTCTCTGTTTACGCAGTTGTGAGTCGCCTTGTTCGTAAATCTGCCGATGAGTAAATATATGTTGGACATCTTCAATTCCACACACACATATAAGAGGCATTGGTCCAAACCAAAATTGAAAAACATCACCATATTTTTTCTGCCATTCCAAGAAAACCGTAGCTAG